CCCTATGTGTTTGTTTATTGTTGTTATTATCTACTACTTAATGAAGGAAATCATACGGTATTTGACCTTCTCCCTCTGACTTATTTCACTTTGCATCATGCCCTCAATGTCCATCCATGTTGTCACAAATGGCTGGATTTCATCGTTTCTTATGGCTGAGTAGTATTCCCCCTGATAAATTTTTGAACATTTTATTCAAAGTAGGTGTACTCGACAACTTTCCTGAATTTTTGTCTCAGAAAATCCTTATTGGTCTCTTTTTTTTCTGAAGGAGATTTTTTTCTTGACAATTCTTGGGGAGTGCTTTTCTTTATTTTCAAAACTTTTTACTCTACTCTGTTCTTGCTCACGTGGTTTTTGAAAAGAAGTCCAGTTTAATTCAGATCTTTGTTTCTTTATACCTAAGATGTTTCTTCTCTGGCATTTCTCAATATATTCTCTGTCTTTTATTTTTCTCTTGTTTGAATATGATATCATGCGGGTGTGCACTATTGCAATTTATCATGTTTAGTGTTCTCTAAAATTTCTGGATGTGTGGTTTGCTGGCTATCGTTAATTTTAGGATATTTTTGTGATTATTATTTCGCTTGTTTCTTCTGTTTCTTTCTGCCTGTATTTTCTTTTCAGATACTCCCATTATGTGTATTTTAAACCTGCTGTTAAAGATGGTGGTTCTCGACTTCATAGATATTGTGTTTGTTTTTTTTGTTCTTTTTATTTTTGCATTGGGCTCTGGTCAAATAGATATTTTGTTTACTACAGGCTTTGTTAAGAACAGAATATCTGCATTCCATTTCAAAATCCCAACTATTTTTATCTTTTCCCCAATTTTGAAGACAGTGGTTTGCCCGGTGACCTCAAGGCTCTCATGGATCTAAGGAGAGTTGTTCATTTAAAGTTTTTTCATTTTCTTCTTGTGAGATCAAGAATGACTGCTTCTAAGTTCTCCTTAAGTGTGGGATCAGAAGTTGGCAGGCATCATCTAGAGTGTCTGGTCAGGAAACATTTCCTGTTGCCTTGAATAATGGAGATTTTATGTTCTTTGGAGGAAAGCACTGTGAAATCCTTCATGTATTGTATAATCATCAGCAAATTGACTATCAGACGCTCGTGGAGTTCAGTGAACTTCCTTGCAATCTGCAGCTCTTAACCTGCCCCTCAAGGCCAGCAAGGCTCAAGGTACACTGTTAAGAGTTTGACTGGAAGGAGCTGTTCTAGCACATTATTATCTCACTGTGTGTTGTAAAAATTGGCAAGAAGTAGCCTTGAGGCACTTGAGTATAGGGATTTTATGGTCTAATTTGTCATGCCTTCTTCCTTGTGTCTGAGCTCCAAGTTCCAAATAACTTTCTAGCCCCACCAAATCACACAGAGAGAGAAAGGAAGAACTGAGTCTATGATAAATATTACACATTAAAAGTGATACTTCCCCGCAGGAAGGTTTACATTCACCAGCTGCATCTGATTCCTTGTAATGGTCTGGAGTAATTTAGGACAGTGTGGCCAATTCGGCTTCATTATAAGTGTGATTTCTAGAGGCCTCCTAGACTCTTTTTGGTGATGGAAGTACATAAAAAGGTCTCCATTTCTTCACTGTGTTTTTATCCATTGAAACTTCATGTGGATTTGACCCTCTGCCTCATGGAGTGCTGTAACTGGTGGGTAAAAGGAAGAAGATGAAAGAATTTTTCTCACAAGGAAACATCAGTCTTAAAATATTTGCTTCATTTGTATAGCATTTGTGTCATTTCCTCTGTACCCTGCCATTACAGAGAAATATGCTGTCATGTGATCACAGTAAAAATATGTAAATAATTTCCATGTGTCAAAACAGTGTCAAATTGATGAGGAAGTGTGTACAGAAAATGAGTGAGTTTTTGGTGATCACAACATAGAATACAGTTTTGGAGATGACACAATCATATGCAACCTTCCTACACATGGAGTACAGATCCCCAGTGCTGTCAACCTTATGCATCCTACTCTACACATATTTGAGATGTTTCAGGACTCAGTGGCAGTTGAGGATGTAGCTGTGAACTTCACCCCAGAGGAGTGGGCCTTACTGGATCCTTCACAGAAGAGACTCTACAAAGATGTGATGAGGGAAACCTTCAGGAACCTGGCCTCTATAGGTAAGAATGAGGACATTCCTTCCCTTCTTCAAGTAGAGAACAAGTGTTTCTTGCCCATCAACATGGTTCCAGTATGTAGAATTTGGAAACAGGGGATGTTGGTAAATAAACTAGAAATGGTCATAGCTCATCATGGACTTAAAGCTAAATTTTTTCCTATCATTTCCAGTACTTTTGTATCATCTTTCTGGGTCTGCATTTTAGGGAAAACATGGGAAGATCGTGATATTGAAGATCAGTACAAAAGCCTGGAGAGAAAACAGAGGTGAGTCACACTCACAATAGAAAGCAGTGTCTGATGTAACAATTCTGTTTTGTTATGAAATTTTAAAGAGAAGCAGAGAAATAACCCTTGCTTCAAATTTAG